TGCGCTAGATGGGAGGCGTGGCATCATTGTTAATGTGAGCCCCGAGTTGAAACACAGCATCGCGCACAAACAAAAAAACAAAGCAAACTTGCTTGCAACAAAGGGCGCTCCTCTGCACCTTCAAAGCACACCATCACGCCAGTTTTTAGGATACCAATTTGGCATGGTTCTATTGCATCCATATTTAATCACATTTTGAAGCTGCCAACCGTCCCTTAATCTAATTATTAATGGACCGTCCTGTTTTTGGTTTTGTTGTTGGTTGCTTTTTTAAATGTCAGATTATCTTATGCTGTGCAGGTGCAGGTGCAGGTGTGATTTATCAATTAACTTTTGTTATTACAGATTGTTTTTGTTCTTAAACTGATTAGTCTCGTGGAAAAACGGTCAAGTAAACAAAGCTACAGCCTCCCTTGAACCCCATTCTGTGCGGTCAAAGTGTTCGTCTCAGTTTCAAAATAAGCCCCCCCCCCAAAAAAAAAGAAAAAGAAAAAAGAAAGTAAACTGAATAGAATCTAAATAAAATACAAAAATAAAGTACAATAAATTACGGAATCCCTCCCCTCGATTTAAAAAAAAATTATAGAATAAACAGTTTTCCTAAATAACGTGGCCAGTATTCAGTTTATATCTTGATAATGTGGATTAACTTACCGTGTAAACAAAGCTGCTGCATAATTTAGATTATATATGTACAGGTTCCTGTATAGGATGATATAGCGTTCGACTAACGGACCTATTCATGCACTTTTCTTAGCATTCCTTCTTCTTGACAACAATATAATGAAAATTTCAGAATTATGTGTGCCTTCATAATTTCCAGGTAAAGAGGATGCTGCCAACAATTACGCAAGAGGACACTACACGATTGGAAAAGAAATCGTGGATCTGGTCTTAGACAGGTTAAGAAAACTGGCAGATCTTTGCACAGGCCTCCAAGGTTTCTTCGTTTTCCATAGCTTCGGTGGTGGCACTGGCTCCGGGTTCACCTCTTTGCTTTTAGAACGGTTGTCCGTCGACTATGGAAAGAAGTCGAAGATAGAATTCTCCATCTACCCAGCTCCACAAATCGCTACCGCCATTGTGGAGCCGTATAACTCCGTGCTGGTGACTCACACAACGCTGGAGCACTCGGACTGCTCCTTCTTGGTGGACAACGAGGCTGTGTATGACGTGTGCAGGAGAAACTTAGACATAGAGAGGCCAACGTACACCAACATTAACAGGCTTATAGCTCAGATTGTCTCAGCGATTACCGCCTCGCTCCGCTTCGATGGGCCTCTCAACGTGGATCTCTTGGAATTCCAGACGAACCTAGTGCCGTACCCTCGGATACACTTCCCTTTGGTCAACCACTCGCCCATCGTGTCTGCGGAGAAGGCGTACCACGAGCAGCTGGGAGTGGCTGAAATCACCAACGGCTGCTTCGAACCTGCCAACCAGCTGGTCAAATGCGACCCCCGTCATGGCAAGTACATGTCCTGTATCATGCTCTACCGCGGCGACGTAGTGCCGAAGGACGTGAACGCAGCCATCGCCACCATTAAGACCAAAAGGACAATCCAGGTGAGCATGATTTTGGATTTACATGCTCAAAAACACCCCAACCCTTCATTCTCCCCCCTGAGCATCAACACGGATCTGGAAAGTCTCTTCAGAATCTGTCAGCTCAAAATAAGCCATTCATATCACTAAAGCTTGTTCTATTTTCGTCGTGCCGCGCTTAAAACAAGATAGAAAAACAAAGGAAGTTGTTAGGGTTCCAAAAGCAAATGTCACAGGTCTTTGCATACGGGTCTAAAAGTAAGATGACCAATAAAATATAAAAGCCCTTTTTTGGAAGTCACTGCTAACTAAGGTTCCATCATGATTTCCTTCATGCTATTCTAAAGGGGGTCTAAAAATAGTGAGAGGGGATTTACAGTATGCACCTGAAACATTAACTTGTTGACCTCTTTCATTTGTATCACACGTTAATGCATGCCTATGAAATACAGTCCAAAAGACGGGTGAATACTCTTCGAGATCTCAGGTCTAGACTGTCCTGGGGGGTGGGGGGGAGAGAGAGGAG